GTGAATTACGTGTCTTTCTCTGATCTGTGCGCAATACTTCAAAATCAGTGTGCTCGGTCTCTCTTTCTCTTCTTTTTTTTTTTCTTCCTTTTCTTGTTTAACATGTTCTAACTTTGGGGATCTCGAGGCAAACAGCCAAAGTCTAACCCCAGGGCAGGAAAGTCACACGTTTGCACAAAGCCGGTTCCTGCTCAAGAACTGACAATTTTGCCGGGTAAGCACTGGTTGGGCTATTTCTAGAAATGGACACAGTGTTGGGTCAGTTCATACATAGGATGCCTGCACATGCCTGCATAGATACATGTACACCTATTTTTGGCACGCATGTTGTAAGGGTCACGTAACACCACTCAGAACCCATACAGCTGTAGCTGTGCCTAGGCATCCAAAGACTGTAGATGCCGTGGACATATGTTTTACTTTCAGGTTTATTTGTAAGGAACACCCTATGTAAACTACTGGCAGTCCAACGGATGTAAAGTTGGAGTCCCTGCCCTGACACCATTGCATGGGTCCATTTCTTGACTGTCATAACCCAACCACAATGCACTTGTGAAAGAGAAAAAAAAATCCAGGCAACAATTTCTGTTTATGCAGAGCCTGAAAGGGTTCTGTCCCTAAGGAACCCTGGAGTCCACAATCCACACCAGCGTTTTTTTCATCATCGTTACTTCTTAGTGATTCCACATACAAAAGTCCTTTACGGTAAGTTGACAATTTTTGTTTGCCACTGGATGATGGCCTCTAGGTGATTCCAGTGGGACAGAAATAAAGGCTTGCCTGTAAAGTCTTGGAAGTCTGGAAAATAATGTACAAACTTATGCTTGTGTAGCATGTGATCCTGCAAGAAAGACAGGCTTTTCATCAGCTGAAAAATGGCTTCTTCCAACTACCAAATGTCTGTTCAGCACCAAAGGAAAAGCACTGATGCCAAATTGTAAAAGAGGAGCATCTAAAACTTAACAAAAATTGACAACTTTCTGATTTTATGGTTTGATTTTATGACAGAAGACAAAAGCAGCATGAAGAAAGCAGCCATTCAAACAGCGGTCAGAAAAGGCCCGTCTCAAGTACAAGATCACATGCCGAGAATAAAATTTTTTAATAAATGACCTGAAATGGAATAAGAGCAGCACAAATTGAGCCCTTGTGCTGTCTGGGAAAGTAGTGAGATTATTATATATGTAATACAAAATCCCTTCCTGGGAGAGGTGGTGTGAGTATGTGACTTCCCTGTCCCTGGGTGCTAACCTCAGACACCTACCGACCGATCGTTACAACTTCGAATTCCTTCTCTCCGAAAAAAATAGACGGATGATATCCATCATGATCGACTTGTGACCTAAAAACAATGTTTAGACAACGTGGAAGCCTTCATACATGTGCATCCGCCCCAGCGAATCATGTGGGTGAAGTTGCTGGTTAGGTCACGTCCGCCCGCTGTTTTACACAGGACAGAGAAACGGAATAAGGCATTAGTGAAGGGTATGGGCAAGTGCCATGTCCTGCTGAAGGAGGAAAGGCAGTTGGGATTTGTCTAGTATCCATGCATGGAGAGTCTGTCTCTGTATCAGTATAGCCTGTGTAACCGCCCTTCGGCGTAACACACCAGCTTCAAAAGTCTGAATTTCATACACATCCGAAAAGATAAAGTGCTAAGTTTCGCACTTGGAGTCTGAGAGCAACAGCTCTGCTTTGGCAATGTGAGAAACATTCTACCAAACTTTCTTTCTGTGCTACCTCTTTTGATAATATCATCCAGACTCAGCATAATACTAGACTTGTTTGTTTTAGTGCCTAAAAACCACTTGCAGTGTTGTATAATATTACAAGAGGGCATTGGAACACCCTGACAACGGTAGACAATTAGTACAGACATGTCAATACACTCGAGGCACGACTGAAATGCACCCTTTTCAGACAGATTTTGTCCAGTCTTTTCAAACAATTACAAACACTCGTGAAAGAAAATTTTTTGCAGGGATAACTACTTAAATATATGAGCAATGGTATTCTTTTCTTGAACGTGAGAATGTAGTGAAGACTTGGATAAAAGATGCCCACTGAAAGAGTGATCTGTGGTCCTGCCTAGAGTGTAACGGGGCAGAGAAAATATGCGCAGCAAGTGACGTTACAAGTCGCAGCATGTAAACAGCGCACACTGCAAATGGTTTTCAGCACAGGTGGCATTTCAAACACTGGAAAATAGGCTGGCTTTCAGAAAAAAAGCCTAAAGAAAAATATCCTATGGAAAAAAAAATTTTACTTTTCTCCAAAAAAAATTACTGCAAGTTATGATATAAATATACTTCTTGTGATGAACAACGAGTTGGCAGAATTCAATCAAAGCACCTAGCTGTTTGTTTTAGCAGCTTTTCTATGATGGTAGGTTCCTGTTTTGCGTGTTGTGCCAAAAACTGAAACGAAGCCAGCCTGTTTGCAAGCAAGAAAACATAATCACAGCCACTGCCTACCAAGCCACTTGACAAAAGACTTCATAAGGGCTACAACGCCCTTCAGTTCATAGACGTAAGGGAAGAGTTCGTAGACGGCGGCTCGGTTGGGCGCGTTCAGCAGACGGTTGACCATGTCCATCACACTCTGGCAGCTCTTGTCGTACTTCTCCGCTCTTTCGTGCCATTCCTTCACCTGCAAAAAAAAACAAACGAAAAGTTGTACAAAATCAAATCATACAAGCAACAAATCTTGACAGCAAAACACTTGGCATTGTTGATCATCATCATCTTCTGAGAGTTTCACGATTGTTGAACAAAAAGGTATTAAAGGTGTTATATTGAATTCAGTTTTCTACTTTGGCTTTACAGGGTTGCAGTGAGCACTTTTTAAGGCCAAATTTGCAGCAAAACGTTGTGTAAAATGTCAAAGCAATGATTACTATTTAGCATATTGTCTTTCAGTAATATCCTGACATGCATCTAAATCTAAGACAACAATGCATGCAGGAAACATGGATCTTCTACTCACATCCTCAGCTGTTGACCTGAGTGTTCTCTTGCACTTGCTCACAATTCTGGAATTGGTTTTCAGCCAGATAAACTCCTCTATCAAGTGCATCCCAAAGGGGCCGTGCTCGAACGGGAGATAGAACAAGTCCACCAACATCGCCAGGTCGTCCAACGTCACGGGCTGTGCCGTGTACAGGAGGTTTATCCTGGACTTGATTTCCTCTGTGTCAGTTTGCATTTCCAATGGGTTAGATGGGCTCATGTCCACTCCTTCATAGTCTATCTGCATCGTCTCTGTTTCAGGCACCTTTCCGTCAGCCGTGACGGTCGTGCAAGGCTGTGTTTCTTCAGCTTTCTTCGCGACGTCCCCTCCTTCCTGTTTTGATGACGTACTTTCGGACAGCGCGCTAGCAGGAGGGGTAGAAGAGACAGCGGGAGAGGAGGAAATGTCCATAGGCTCCAGACCCTCCCCCTCTTCGGATTCCTTGGATTCGGAGCTGGCGGATGTTACGGAGTCGAAGGCGGAATCGGTGGACGGACTGGACGGAAGTTTTGGAATGTCTATGGGCTCCCCCGTCAGGGTGTTGACCGGGCACATGACAGGCTGGGTGCAGCTGCTGGTGGTTGTGGGGGTCATGGTCATACACGTGTTCACTGTCGTGACAGAGTCCGTTATCACGCTTACGTTTCCGCTCCTTTTCAACACACCCATCGCGCCCGTCTTCGGCGTTTTGAGCTCCTCCATCCAGTCCTTGAGCGCCAGTTTCAGTGCCGCGTTCCGGTCGTATAACCCTCCTTCGGATTTCGCGCTGGAGTCTTCCGTGACGCCCTCTGTTTCTAGCTTGATGTCGGAGGTGACGGTACTGTTGTCCCCGCCCTCCGCTTCCTTTTTGGTCACGTCGACGGTGCTTTTGCTCCAGGTTGCCAGCGTGTGGAGGGCCATGAAGTTGCTCTCGAACTCGCAGTTCGGGTTGGTCAGGACCCCGTGCAGGTGCGGCATAAGCGCGGTCGAGCGGCCGTCGTACGGTCCGAGGAACACGCGCTTCTGGTCGTAGTCGTTGGCATGGATGTTGTCCCATATGACCGGGGGCCTCTTGATAGTTTTGGTCACTTTCTGGATATGTTCGACACTGATGATTTTCGACACTACCCTTGGTCCTGTGGAAGCAAAATAATAGCTTCAAACTCACACATGGACATCGCTGACCTAGCCTGGCATATCATCTCAGATTTATGTTATAAGATTCTGCATTGACGCTCGGTTATATATTTTTTGTTAGTGTTGAGTTCCATTTCATTTCACTGGTTGTGTTTTTCTCTTTAACACTATGCACAGGGTACGTCTGAAAAGCAACGCGTTAAGCACTGAGTGTGTTCACTCTATTGAAAGAAAACAGAAATAAATATACTTCCTTTCTTCAAAAAACCATGAAAGCACAAAGATTTAAACTACCAACTCACCTGTCCATAGGACATCTATGTCGGGGAGAAGCTTGGAGCCAATAGTAGTGAGGTACTGTGAGGACTCAATATCTGGCACTGCTCTGGACTCGCAATATTCTATGGGGCAAAACAATGTACAGAATTCATAAGTTACAAAATACTTTGATTAGCTATCAATAGTATCATACAAACCAGTCATGTGATGAATCTTCTTATTTTAAAAGCATACAAATGACATATTACATTTCTTTCAATTATAGCTAGTTACAGACTCACATCTAAGCTTGCACATATACAATACTAGCAGTCTCATGCCGGAACTTGTTTTTGGTTACAAAATAATCTTTGAAAGGGACAAGGCTGCAAAGCAAACATGGAAACAATGGCCTTTTTACAGAGCTGAGCCCACCTGTTGGACAGAAGAGGAATGTAGGTTGTCCCAGGTGTTGGTACACTTCGTTTGTGACAGAAACTTGTGCATGGGCGAAGGACTGGAACACTTCCTTGTCGGCGATGCACATGTCCGTCTCGATGTCATCGAAAAGCAGCGCAAAGGCCTTGCACCCAAAGTGGCTGACCTACGAACCACGGAAATGATGTTATTGAAAAGAGTCAAGTAAACAATAAGTCATGAAAGTAGAATGCTGAACTTCATCTCTAACACAAGGGTGCGCAAGGATCAAATTTTCAATGACCACTGTCACTTTTATCAGGATAAGTAATGACCAATCACTTCCGAACAAAAACTCGCAAGAGTTACAGCCATATACTGCAACCTTATTCACACAAGGCTTCATGGATATGGAGTTGAATGTTAAATGTATTCAACCTCCTTGGTCAAATGTGCCAGCCAGTTTATCATGATGAAATTCCATAATAATCATAAAGATGCTTTGCTATCTATATTCAGACACATAGTTGAAAGAAAAAGTCGTTACCTGTTCCAGTTTCCTCTTGAGAAATGTAACATCTTTTGCACTGGAGAAAGTTATGTCCAGACCAGGCGAAAGCGCATAAACAAAAGTCACGCTGCTTTCACTGGCTTCTGCTATCAGACTTGTCAGGTGTTCTGTTGGCAGAGACAAGAGAGATTAAAAGTCTTGGTAAATTATATTAAACCTGATCTGTATCTGTATCTGTATAGCCGGTATAACCGCCTTTCGGCGTAACACACCAGCTTCGCAGGCACGCGGCGCGGCGGCAGCTGGCTATATTACACCGATCGACTTGTTACACCTAACCCTTGGACTTCTAGCTCTAGACAACTCAGATCAACTCAGGAAGGCATAATTCCCAAAAGCAAAGTTGAAAGAAGTAACAATTTTCTTTATGCCCATTGCTACTGAAATGAAGCAAACAATGCAAGAGTAGTGAGTACAATAGACGTACCTGCTTCCTCTACAGAGTAAAGATCTCGCCAATAGGCCCTGTGTTTGTAGTCGTCTTTGGGTGCATACAGGTACGTGTTCAGTCCCATCTTGTTCATCCTGACAAGGAAAAACAACAAGGATGTCCGGTTTATCATCTATTTTAACAAAAATATCAATACCAAATTTAATTTGAAAACCATCACAGTATCAACAAAAAATATTCCAGGTACAAATAATGCAATAAAAAAGTTGAGTTACAGACATTTGTAAGAGATACCCACCTTCTGAACAACTCTCGTCTCTGATCCGTGGTCCATGGCTTTCCATAAAAACCTGCAACAACAATAATCCTTATTTCAGATCATAGGTGGAAAAATTCCAATTTTTTATGCCTGCTCCAATGCCTTTTCTTGCAGCATGTACTACATATAAAACACCATTGAATAAGAGTTTTCCAAAATAATCTTTTGGCCTTCATGTGACTCTTCAGTCTTGTGTGATGTGATGACACTTCACTCAGATATGGTAATATTGGCTCCATGTGGATGAATCATGAAGTCATGAGGGCAGACAAATATGTATATATCAAAGCCATACCACAATGTAGTTTGTGACACCAGTTTTGTAGAACAAAGAGTTTGTTAAGATTTTGAGACAACCACTTGTTCTGAATCTGAAGTTGTTAATCACTGAATATCAACAATATTGACAGGATCCTTTTTGGTAAGATTTGGCAAATATTCACAATCGTTATATCTTTTAGGAGATGTGTTTTTTTTTAATATCATATATATCCCTCCGTGTCATCTATAGTTATGTCCTGTTTACTGTTTACATAAAAATATTACTAGTATGTGATCATCAGATGATTTTTAGAATGGCAGCATTTCTTTACTATGTTTGAAGTCGTCCTAAATTCTATAAAACCCCACGTACAAATCTTTAAAAAAATCTAAACGCGCCGACAGTGCGCCGTACAACATGGAGAACAACGTATCTCCCAGAGGAAACATAACTCGCTGACGACCGAATATATTTGCTGCCCATTAGCCTGAGGCCCAAGCTTGCAGACCGGCCCGATTTGCATAGACGTCAGTTCGACAAGATGGATGTGCCACAATATGGCGGAAAAGGGGTGATGAGTTGGACAACCGGATTCGGAATCTTTCCGCCACGATTCTGAGCAAAAAACGCCAAAAATTCAACGCCTGCTGTCCAAAAATACATTAAAGATGCCCTCTATGTGAAATTTGCCGACAAATCTGACCAAATCTGAGGAAACATGGTCGCGTTTTGTCCTGAAAACATTCGCCAAAATTTTCACCTACCTTCCACAACACCCCTGAGAAAGCGGTTGCTGCAAACGACATTCCCGTTCACGTTCGCCATTGGTGGCATCTCTACGATGTCTTCACCGTAGTTGCCGCCACACAGATATTTCTGAGATCTTCCTCTAGGTGTATACTGTTAAATAGAGGCCAGAAACCTAGCTTTAGCCGGTTATTTGCGACTGGAAACCTCCAAAGAGTCCTAGTTCTCTCTCGTCTGCTCTGCTCTGACAGTGGGCGGGCGGTTTCAACCAGTTTATGCAAAGTCATGTGGTTCATGAAAGGCAGATCATTTAGAGGGGTAAAAACAAAGAATGTCAGTTACACCAACTTCATTAAAATGTCAATATTAAAAACATATAAAATTTTATTAATATAATTACTATAGTTTACATTTTTTGTTTTCAATAATTAATCAAAACTGTAAAATACCAGCATATTTATTCACACTTTAAAAACGCCACACCCCTTTACGACTTAGTGGTATATTCTATATGCCAATCAAGGGGCTGACATACCGACTAACCAATCAGGCGCGCTTTTATGAATGAGATTGGTTCCCGAATTGCTTTCTAACGGCACTGCTGATTGGTGGAGGCCATTGAGGCGAAGGAATGTAAACAAAAACACAGCCATCTAACATTATGCTGACTTGAGTTCAAAGTCTGACCCTAAGAACAACTGGTTTGTTTGTCTGTGGAAATGGTTACTAGGCTATTACAGAGCCACGTCGCGATCTACTGAAAGTCAAGTTCAGGTTGTGTTTTCCTCATCGGGTTTTCTTGCATAATTTGACATTTGCATGCAGCTTGCTTTACAGTTTTACTCAGGTTTCATTTTAATGGTTCCCTCATATTCAATGTCAGAAGGATTTCAGAAATTATATCACCTTCCCAGGTTGTAGCATGAAGCTTGAAAACAACAGTCATATGTTTCCCTACACATGTACATGTTACATGTTCACAGAATGATAATATTTTTTTGTGTTTACCTTCACAGAATGAAATTGAAAACAATGTTTTTGCTCTGTTTCTTTTTCTGTGCCAAACACAAGGTCAATGACCTGGACCAGAGGTCTGTCACCAGGGTACTAGTAACTGGTACATACTAGTAGCAGACACCCTGTGGTGTGAAAGGAAAATCAGGAGGAGTCTTTGTTGATGATTGCTTTTGGGAGACAATCAAAACAGACATGACGGATTGAATCCATGGCCCCACCCACTTAAGTTTAATGCAAAAAGCAGAAATTTAAAACGTAAAAAAAAATTGCCCTGGAAAACTTGGGATCAGTCCAAGGGGTAATGGTATTTGCAGAACCACAATCTCAATTTTACATAATTTGATATAGTAAATTTAAAATTCCAATGTGTTTTAACTCTTCCATCTGTATTACATATTTAAGATCATACAAAGTGTGACGTTATGGCGGAGGACAAGAGGGAACCTGACTGGTACCTGGCCCTGATGGCACCAAACACGAGAGGACCAGAATTCTGCTGGCTAGATCCCACTGCCATGTACAGGCATGCTGAGGTGAGGAACAATATACTAAAGTACTTTTATTTGCTGCATTGACTGTTATCAAGGAGATAAGTATAATCATGATGATTACCGGTATGTACAATCATTTTACTACATTACAATGAGTTCTTTGAATGAAAGCTCATCTGTGTTGGTAGAATCCATAGTTATAGAGTTCAAGCTTGTTCCAGTACAACGAAAGAACTCGAAAAGAAATTTTTGGCTGATCCCATCAACCTTCGTCAGATGTGTGAATCTGTGATGCAATCGCTGACTTTCCGGAAGCGTGATGACGTCAGGAGTGCATCACAAGTGGCGGGAAGACTTAATCTGCCACCATCACAGTTCAGAGAGGGTTGATGGGCCCTGATGTAAATTGCCTTCTTCGTAGCCTGACGTCATCATGCTTCCAACTTCTGGAAATTCAGCAATTGCTTCACACATCTGACAAAGGTTGACGGGATCAACCAAAAATTTATGGTCAGTTTTTTCCTTGTGTTGGAACAAGCTTAAACTCTATAACAATGAGTTGTTGTCATGCAGGCTTTTCACCAGTGTATAGCAGACATGACAAAGGACTTCAATCCTGATGAAATAGACCTGGTGGCTGGGATAGATGCTGCAGGTTATGTTCTTGGTATGGCACTCCATTTACTCACTCACTCACTCACTCACTCACTCACTCACTCACTCACTCACACACTCACTCTATGGCACTCCATTTATTCACTCACTCACTCACTCACTCACTCACTCCATTGCATCCTCTTTTATTTGGTTAACCATTGCAAATTGCTAGAGTGAGGAATTGGTTCCTTGAAAAAAAAAAGATGTGATGCCTGTAGTTTTCATAGAAGAAATGTAGAAGAACTTCTTGGCACAACAATTGTACATGGTATACAATATATGGCAACTATTGAACATAATAAGTACAAAAAGGTAATTATAATTGAATAAAACTTGTCATCTACAGTTGGAGGTACTAATTGATAATTAAAACAACAAGGGATTAGTATATAACATATCAAGTGGGGCTAATTATGAGTTTTGGTAAAAAAATTTCTGATTATAAACAAGAAAGCAGTCTTTTAAATATTTTTTCACATGTATACTACTACTAGTACTAGTATTCATACAGGGAAAGATCCTATAAGCTCCTTGGTAAAATATCATGTTTAGAACATTCCACGTATATGGCATTAAAGTTATATGATTGTGTTAAACAGGTGCTGCCATAGCCTTTCACCTGAAAAAGGGATTTCTCGCCATACGTAAGTACGGACACCTTCCTTCAGAAGTGGACGATGTCAGCTTCAAGGACTACTCCAAGAGGGAAAAACGTATGGAAATTAGGAAGAATGCCTTCAGGCCAGGTTTGTGTTTCAATGTTGTTACTGGCTTATTATGATGTTTGTTGGTCAGTGTAATTGTAACAGTTGGTTTCAAGTTCCACCAACTGACTTGTCTAACAGGTCCAGACCATATAGCCTAGTGCGCTGTTGGTGCGTCGGGGTCTTAAACTGGCGGCCAGGGTTTGATTCCCAGGAGCTAGCAGTTTTTGTGTTTCTGCTTGCCGCTCAATGCTTCATAACATTTTTTTAGGCCAATGGAGATGTGTGAATGATTGTAGCCTGACCATGTCTTGCAGGTACAAGGGTGCTGATTGTGGACCAGTGGATTGAGACTGGAGGGAGCATGACTGCTGCAGTGGAGCTGGTGGAGAGACAACAGGGCATTGTGGCAGGTACAGAATAAAGAGAGTCTTATAACACTACCAAGCTTTTTATTCAGCTGTGTAGATATGTACATATCTTATGGTATATATACTCTATAGCAGTGACACCTGTGCTGCTGTGCAATGTGAACCAGTCAGAATTGCCCTGAGGAAGGTGACAGATGGCAGAATAAAACACTTGGTTGTGTAAAAAGTCTATCTATTCAGTGACTTACAAACCTGTAGGTTTCCTTTTATTTCCATGACACTAGCAGCCCTTTTATAGTTCTTATCAATGCTACCATCCTCTACCATTGCAGGAATTTCCTGTGTCTGTATTGAAGAACAGGAGAGAGCGAAGAAACTTATGGAGAAGTACAAGTGTGTGTCCTGTGTGAGGTCTAAAGAACTACAAGCTCAAGTTAATGCTCACGACCTGGAAAGCTTCAAGACATACAAACCTTTGTGATATGGAAAAAAAAGATACTTGATATCCATGATCATGATATCCATGGGTTGGACGTATCATGGTTCTTGAGTGCTACTGCATGATTTTATTGCAAGTTTGATTGAAAGAAAGCTATAAAACATGGATAGAGAATGGGTAGTGAAGTGCTATGTGTAAAATGGTATGTAATAGTGATGCATACCGGTTCACTGGACTTGGATCCGGACTTGTAAAAATGTTTAGGTTCAAGTCCAAAAAAACCTAAAAGTCAAGAACCGAGTCCGGACTTATTACCATAAAAGACCATTTCACATACCCCTTTTCTTTTTAAACCACCTAAAACCTTCGTAGATTCCAAAATCTTTGCTGCAAAATGAAGAAAACATTGCCATCGGGCATCGTCAAGTACCAGCCTCCATGTTATGTGGCCAAAGTTTCACCCAGACAACATTGCAAGGTTGCCAACAAGCAATTTTGTATATGCCATGGGTTTAGGTCTGGACTTAAGTCCGGACCTGAACCTAAACCTCTGGACTTGAATCCGGACCTGAACCTGAAATTGGGTTTAGGTATGCATCACTAGTATGTAACAATCTTGTTGTGTGCCTCAAGTATTTTGTGACATTTGAAAACGCTAACTTAAAGACATTAAGTATGGCTGTCACAAGAAAATAGATAAGACTTGTTCAGCAGTCACTAACTGTATGAATTCTTAATTTCGAAGAAAATGTTTCTTCCAGCTTTGTAAAGATGTGCTCAGGAAGATTTTCAAATTTCTGGTGCTTTTCTAGGGTTGACTATTGGCAGCATTTCACTGGTTTCCTAACTCTCCAAGGGCTCTGCACATCTTTGTTGCATGGCAGCTACAGTTGGTAAACAGCAGTTACCAAGTTAGGCCAACAGATGTGGTGCTGGAATGATGTAATGGCATTTTAATAAACTGTTTGTTGTTTGTCTTCTTGCGTTCTCTTGCCACTATCTGTTTTAGAAGTTTGAAATTAATTTTTAATGCATTGCCTGGATACTAGTAGTGTCTAGGGACAGAATTACTCCTGGACCATCTGTTAGTAATATGACTTGAAAGAAAAAGACACTCAAGCACAAGCCAAATACATTTACTTTGAATTTCTAACTTTTGAAAATTACAGAGAGATGTCTTTACAACAGTCACTACAGTACTGTACATGTATATCAGAATTACCTACTAGAGGTATATCAATACATTGTGTACTCTTGAGAAGGTACATGTATTTGTAAGGACTTTCTGCTCTAGTTTGGGGCACTACAAGATATTTGGTATAAATATTGAATATATGGCATGCTTTGACATATAGGCCATTATATTTGATACAATAATTTTCAAGAGAAATATGAATTACAAAACTACTCTTTTATAAATTGACTTTTTATAATTCACAATTTACCACAGAGGCAAAATAATGCATCTCTTTTAATACTTTAGTCCAAATCTTCTATGTAAGGACTACTCTTGCAAAATAAAGCACTATACAAAAGTCATGGCTTTTAATTACAAGAATTTGGCATAACATTAAAAATCATGATGCCAACATGCTTTTCTACCGGTCGCAGCATTGTGATTTGACCAAATTGGAAATAAAAGGCATTGGATAAGTCCCAAAACGATTTCTCTGACAATCTTCCTGACAAATATTTTGTGAAAAAAAGGTAGTAGATAAGTCAGGAAGTGATTTCTCTCACTCTGATTTTATCCATCGAATATCCCCAGTACTTTCGACTTTCTGAAAGTACTAGTAAAATGATTTGCTTTGTTTAATTTTTTTTTTAATGTGGTAATATTTTGTAAAGTGCTCCAACATAATAGGTGCAATCTTTCTAGACATCAAACACAGATACACTTACTTTGAAATGATGCATAGGTACGGGTAAGGCATTTGCACTGTCAATCCTTCACTTCAGTTTCATTCTTAGCTAATTCTTTTTTTTTATACATGTATATCAACAATCTTTTGTAGTGTTCATAGGATCTTTTTTAACTGCATGATAACGATCTAAAGTGAGTAATTAGTACTCAATTTTTACCATTAATCGAGCATGCCACAGTATTGTACTAGCCATGCATGCAATGCCACCCAAAAGTCACTCAAAACCACTTGGACATATACAATTGTGTATGTACCAACAGTGTTTCTGACCTGGTGTCCAGTCTATCGTGGTTGGGGCGGGCTTACTCTCCAAGCAGAGGTTGTGGGGGAATGATTGTTACCTTTTTATATATTTTTTTGTCGCTGCCCCCACCAACTAACCCGTCAGTGGCTGGTGACCTTCTCTGGCTAATGGATACTGCCTGGCCAATTTGATACTGTCTTTTTGTCACTGAAAGGGATCTGCTTGGAGATTAGGGTGGGCTAGCTCTCTTTGGGAGCTGTATTAGTTTGTTGACCAGTGGAAGTGTATTACGCCTGTAGGAGCTTTATGATGGGGCTAACTGAACTACTGTTGAGCAAAACCTACCGGCGAACCTAGCTGAGTCGGGCAGGAAGAGCTCCTGCAGCCCGAAGAAACCCTGCTCCAACCTCATCAATAGACTGGACACCAGGCTAGTGCTTCGAATCATCTCAACCTGTGTGCTCTTATGTGATCAAATCTAAACAAATTTAACAGATAAATTTGAATAACCACTTTGAGTACTATACTGCTCAGTTCAGGGCTCGAAATACTAGCTGCAAATGTAGGTTAGTGCAGGTAAAATTGGAGCTGTGCAGGTATTTCCGATGTCCACCTGGTCCATGTACTGGTCCACGAATTGGGTTTAAAGTCATGTACATGTAGGTGTATGTTGAGTTTTATTTGCTGCAATGACTATTACCATCTATGAAGTTTAAAAGAAATAATGGCAATGGTTTCTGAACAGTTTTCAGTATAACCCATACTTCTCAAAGTCTGAGTGGTGCGGGTAAATCTTGTCTGATGGAGGTAAATTTCCAATGTTACCTGCACTCAGTGCAGGTATGCAGAAAAAAGTATTTCGAGCCCTGAAGTTGGAAGGAACTCCAGCTAGCTGGCCGGCTCCTCACAGTTTTGGGTCCTCGGTGAGAACCCGCCCCAACCCCAATAGACTGGATACTAGGTTACAGCATTTCAAAGCATCTCAACCTGTGCGCTCTTATGTGATCAAATCTAACTAAATTTAACAGATAAATCTGAATAACCACTTTGAGTACTGCTCAGTTGGAACTTCGGCTAGCTGGCTCCTCACAGTTTGGGGTCCTCAGTGACGTTAGTGACTGCATCGTTGATGGCAGAGGCGATGTAATCGGCGTTGCCCGTGGTGACGGCGCACATGTTGATGCGACCGTTCTTCATCAGGTACACGTGGTACTTGTTGATGATGTAGTCAACTTGTTTGGCTGGGAAGAAAAACGATAAATGATATTAATTAACAGCTGTTGCAGCCCTCCTGCTTTGACTTACGCTGTGAAATAAGCTGTTTCATAATTAGAACTGCATCATGGAAGTTCATTTGTGTTGGTAATAATCATACTATACGGTGCTGTCATTTATTCCAACTCCAAGGATACGCAAGGGACCACAGTCGCCTTCATCATGATAAGTAATGACCAATCACTTTCGAGCATAAACCTTTGAGAGTTAAAGACGTGACCTTATTCACAAGAGTCTTTGAGAAGAATGAAGGCTCTTAAATTGTTAGTACTTCTTGGTGACATCATGCTTGATACATGTCCATGGATGTTGACAAAAAGGTAATGGATAAATAAAGATGAGAAATAAACACGGCAAGAATAAACAAAATTAATACAATTGAACAGTAATGGTCAAAAAAATCAGAAACTCCAAAACAAAGCAAGAATAAAAGCAAATACAATGTAACAGTAATGGTAAAAAAATGATAATAAAGCTTAAAACCAAGAGGTAAGAAAAATTTCCATGCAGCTATTCTACTTGCTGAACTTATGCCCCAACCCGGTGATGCTGAACATGTGTATACATGTACATGTATTTATCTTTCATTACATGAAAACTGTTCTACATGTTGAACTTACGCCCCAGGCCGGTGAAGCTGAACATGCCGATCTGGTTGGTGATGTGGTCCCAGTTCCCGGGAGTCTTCAGCTGACGGAGCTTTTCGTGCAGCAGCCGCCGCATGTCACTGATCCGGCTGGACATCGTACGGATGTTGTCCTTCCTGGTGAAAAAAAAAACAACAAAAATTACGGCTCCCTGTGTCAAATGTGCAGATGCTGGCACATTGGCACACCAAATCCGTAGTGTGTTTTTGGTATACATTTAGACAGATTAGCCTATGAGGCTAGGTGGGTGTCACTCCACCATGCAAGCCTAGGGAGGGAAGTCATGTTAAGTACCTTTCCCAAGGGCACAATGTGGCGGCATGGTGAGTTTCGAACCTGGGACCTACCACTGAATTACCAAAAATCTTTAAAAAGGCCATTCACCATTTATTCCTAAAAACATAGTTTAAGTCTGTAGCAACTTTTTAACACCTAAGTTAAGTCTGTAATCAGGTTGTTAACTCCACCCAAAATAACACTTCCAAAGAAGTCCCAGAAACAGTGTCCCGGTATATAGTTCTCACCATTCTGCGTAGAAGGCAGCGTTCCCGAGCACCGTGGCCACGATACGGCAGCCGTGGTTGGGCGGGTTGGACCACATGGGGCGGGCGATCACCTCCATCTGACTGCGGACTCTTCTCAGCGACTCTGGGTCCGCAGAAACGATCACCAGGTTTCCTGTACGCTCGTCTGGAACAGGGAAGTCAAACTTTAATCGTACTTTGCATGGAGATGTTTAAGGGAACTCTTTAAACCTCAAAAAAGTCAACTGTCATCCTGAGACACATTGATGAAGGTTAGACATCCAGGTAAACAATACTCATAGTAAATTTAAACTCCACTATTGGATACATTACAGAGATTACTTCTGGACGTTTCCAGGGAAATCCATCACAGTGACTCTTCTTCAGTGTCACTAATACAATGTACTAGACAAGTGATTACTAGCAGAACTAGTCAACACATATACAATGTATATGAGCAACTTTAAAAACCTGGAAACACTCAAGGGTTCTAATGCAGTTGTAAGAGGGGCCAACTAGTAGTGAATCTACAATCCACCATTAACAGAAAAGGAGGCCTGAGTGTTTGTCTCTTTGTTATATGTGACCCAGACCAGGCTCCAACTATGGCATTTATTGCATGAAGCCAGGTCCTCACAACAATTATTTTATAACTTACTGTAGAGCCCAAAGTTCTTGGAGAAGGACTGTGCGACCATCATCTCGAATCCCGCCTTCTCAAACAGCCTGACGGCGTAGGCATCTCTGTCCAGGTCACCCGAGGCGAAGCCCTGGTACGCCGAGTCAAATAGCGGGAACAACCGCCGCTCCTGGAGGGAAGGAAAGGCATTGATTGTCAAGTGTCAATCACAGTAACTGTAACCATCGTTTTAGATAGAGATACAGACTTTTTATCTACATACTAGAGGAGAGTGAGTGTGTGTCAGTTGTGATCATAAGAATCATCAAGAAATCACAGATTTCACACTTCCAGGAAGTATTTTGGGTTCACCCTATTTCCTGTGTCTGACCCTCTGACCTCCTGTCATTCTGCCTGTCAATCTTCACCATCCATGTGCTGTCAACCTACTCTCAGGTTCACCTGATTTCCTGTGTCTGATCATTTCTGTAGCCCTTTGGCCACACAGTAGTGCAAGCACTACAGAAGGGGGCTAGCCATACTCTCATGGATGCTGAGTGCCAAGCAGAGAAAGCAGTATGTACCATTTTTTTAAGTCTTTGGTATGACTCGGCCGGGGTTTAAACTCACGACCTACTGTTACAAAGCAAGCACTAACTCTTCTTGATTGCTATATATTGCACCAGTGACTTGTACCTTGAACTAAGTGCTGAAGTTCTAAGTCTACAACAAACAACACATTTTCCAGAAGGCGTTAATTTTGCACATACCCTGACGACCTGCATGATCTGCTCCCACTCACTGGGGTTGGGGTCCACTCCGGTGGGGTTGTGAGCGCAGGCATGGAGGATCACTACTGAGTCTTCTGGTGCAGCCTAGGGTAAATACGAGGTGGAAGAATATTACATTAATTTTGTACATTGACACAATATATATCTATCAATATAAATGTACTCAAATAAGTTGGTACAGAAAATTTGTTTAAAAAAAAAATCATCTAAACTGTCAATATTTATCTAAGGATTTCAGTGAATTCAATCTGAGAAAAAAACTTTTCAGCTGAGACAGTGCTTCACATACACAGCTGCAGTTTAGATCGTTCCCACTAGATGGCACTGCTACAAGAAAATTCTACATGTACCACCAACAGTTCCCCATGATAGCCTGAAATTAAATAATCCTCAAGCCTGCATCCAAACAATCTAAAACTTCTCTAATTTATGGAAAATACATGTAGCTGCAGTAACTCCCCTTGAGTAAAAGCTAAGAGGATTTAGGAAGTCAATTAAGTGGGAGTCGAGATATTTGCATAATGTGGCTCAACTGGCCCGAAGGGTGCTTGATCCCCAAGATGTTTACCTCGCTTGTTTGCGGGTACTGGGGGGTGTATCAGTTCATGGCAACTTCCAATGTAGCAGACCTTACTTTCCACTCTTTTCAGCTGCTTCTGATCTCTGAAGCCTGGTAGAGACTAAAGATGGAAGTCCTGTGTTTGGGGACACCCCACAACCCTTAAAGAACCCACCATACCTTTTGAAAAAGAGCAGGGGCATGCCCCAGTGTATGATGGTCCAAATACTACTATGTGGAAGTTGGTGATTCACTACAAATCACTTGGATGAAGGCGTGGCAAACCCGTCTCGTATTAGCCACAAAAGGCAGTGGTATCTTCAGCTAGTTGAAGGCAGCTGCCTCAAAATGAAAGAAGAAGAAAAAAGACATGTTCCCTGCTTACCCTGAGATCCTCCAGCATGCCCTTGATGTCCAGGCCCTTGGTGGAGGCGTCCCAGTACCTGTACTCCCTGATCTCTGTAAAACCTGCGTGCTTGAAGATTCCGAGGTGGTTTCCTAGGAAACAGAACACAAAATTCTCACACATGAACTGCCAAGCAAAGCAGCACTAAACTTTCATGCATGCATTAGTAGCTGTTTGGCACCAAATTTGTTGAAAAGAGCAGGGGTCTTTCAGTCCTTACAGTCTGGTCTCAGCTTTGACATTTTGAAGAGATGATACTCATAGCTATAGTTAGCCTGAGTGTCAGCCTTGTTAGCTTTCGTCCCCTCCCCAAGATCTGCTTGTTGGCGGGGAGCGGATCTTGGGGAGCTGACGAAAGCTAACAAGGCTGACACTCAGGCTAACTTATAGTCATATGTAATGTCAACCCTTCCACAACAAGGTAATACTTGAAATGGATCATCTCTTAAATCACTAAAACACAGATTCGAGAACATTTAGTAGCATGAAATACATGTGGGCTTCTATAGGAAGAAGAAGACCACACAGGAAGAATAGCTAATGTATATGTATACTAAGTATGGATCAGAATAATGTCAAACTCACCCCAGGTAGGTTTGGAGTGGTACATGACGTTCATGCCCAGACACCGCTTGAAAAACTCTGCACTCAGCCTCAGGGCACCCGTACCACTCAGGGCCTGAACACCTGCAGCCTGGAAACACAGGGATACACATTATGTATCTCATTCACGTCTAGATGTACAATGTATGTCAGGGTAGAGACTCTGATCTGGTACAGCCAGCAATTGTACCAGAAGAGATCCTGATCAATTGCTGTAACTTAACATTGCCTAACATATCCTAAAAGTTAAACATTCAATCACATTACTGGTAGCTGCTATATTTCATAAGCGAGACCATATCATCAATACATGAACATATTGTAACTCATATACTGTATAGATAGTAGTTTGTAGTAAGAAATGAAATAAGTTATACATAGTTTAGTTTTGTAGTATTGTTGTATTACTGCCACACATTGTACCATGTACGATTGTCAAGCAATAAAGTTCATTCATTCATTCATTCATATCTATTTAACAAATAGTCTATGCTTGTCAAAATCATAGATTGTACCAACAGAGACTCAGCTAAAGTTGGGGGGCTACCTCCACTGGCATGTTATTTGTCTACTTGGTCAAATCATTTTGCAGGTGCAGTTACGTTCTGCCGACATGCTCCCCACCCTGTTCTGAGCGATAGACGCGGCGTCCTCTCCTAGCACGAGCTTGGTGGCGGCCTTACAGAAGCTGTCCAGTCCGCACACGGGCAGGTACTCGTGGTTCAGGATGGGGTCAGCAGCCATCTGTGACTCCACAGTCCGCACCACCGGCAGGACCCACGGTAAACCCTCATCTGTACGGTACGCTGGGGGGAGAAGGTACGATTGTAAGAGATAGCTTTAAACAATGTTTAGAGTTAGATGTTTAGCAGGTACTCGTGGTTCAGGATGGGGTCGGCAGCCATCTGTGACTCCACAGTCCGCACCACCGGCAGGACCCACGGTAAACCCTCATCTGTACGATACGCTGGGGGGAGAAGGAATTGTTTAATCAGGTTGGTGAATGATTGAATAGTATTTTGCATTTCTTTCTGTATTCTTTATTTTCGCACATAAAAATAAATGATAAAGTAGAAATAAAATACAAAAGCAGCATGTGCTGCATGGGGGAAGGCAGAGACCTGTATCTGTATCTGTATCTGTATAGCCGGTATAACCGCCTTTCGGCGTAACACACCAGCTGTGTTACGCCGAAAGTTACTAAGGTGTTACTAACAGACCTATTTAGTCTTTGAGGCCTTTCCTACAACTAATTGTGAACTATAGCTGTAATTAGCAAAAACTAGTAAATTGAAATAATAACACATAGCTAAATGGTACAGTTCTTTATCTATATCCACTTATTTAGCAAGAGCCGATTGTTTTGTATTTGTACATTGCAACCAAGGTGGGTGGGGCATCCATCAACCAGCAAGTTGAGCAACTTTTTTTTTTTATTGATGTGTTATGTGAGTGCCATGTGCCCAGGGGGCTTTTGGTGTGTAACGTGGCAGGTCACCAAAAACGTAATCTCCAAGCAGACCTTTCACTGTCCAAATCTCTCCAATCATATATACAAAAGTTAGGTATACTGTGTAATGTGTTTGCCCCCAAGTATGCAAATTGCAAAGTGTCCAAATTTGGAAGTGAGACACCAAAACTTTTTCTCCAAAAATGTATCACCTAGAGACCTACAACAGTCACAATGGGGGCAGAATACCCATCCAACATTCCAAAGATTACAAAGTAACAAAAGCATTTGGAGATAAGATCTGGGCATTTTGAATGACAGGACTGACAGGTTTTCCTGTTACAGGTCAGTGAGAAAACACAGACAGTGTGGGAATTATGCCATCACTAGTAAATTTTACGCTTGCCCAGGCCCAATAATTAGCCAAGGAACTTTTACTTGTGTTGGCTTCAATTAGTAAGAATCTCTAAAGGAAGAAATAGACAGGAAGAAAGGCTAATGCTTACTAGTAGGACTGAGGCCAGTAAACACACCTACATGTACATGTATACATGGTCTCCTTGACTCCTTCAGTCAATATATACCAATAAAATCAAATTTAAGTACTGGTAGAAAAAGTTACCAGAGATTTGTACGTACTGCTAAGGCCTAGGAAAAAAAATGTTGTGTTTCCGGTTACCTGACCGACCCTATGAAAAACCCCCCGACCCTAGCCTTTTTTGGGCCGACCAAAAATTTCGAGCGGCTAGCGGTCGGTTTTCAAAATTGGGGATTTTATCCCCGATAAATGTGCTCGTCATTCCAATTTTCTTCGGTCGGGCGGCGTGGATCGAGCGCTAATTGCACGGATCGGGCCGCTATTCAATTCCATTGTCGGCACAATCCTGTGAATTGACGATGAATTGTCGATCTCGCCATGACGCCACAAAGAAAACGTTGTCATTGGTAGAAAATCTGACACCCCGCTGGCGTTTCACAACAAAATTTTCATGTAAACAACTCCGACTGTCTTTGTTTACATCACGAAAGCTCACCGATACAAAGTAAAACTCCCGCCGGCCGGCCGCGCCCGATCGCATGGTTGCGGCATGGCGCTAAGTTTTCGGCAGCTCGACGGAAAAATAATCCATCCCCAGAAGAAATGTTACGCATGAAAATAACAACTACAACTTGTTTTCCTCGTTATATGAGTTTTTGAGGCCGTAAAATGTTTAAAACGGTTGAAATTTGCTCGAAAAAACGGCTCGAAAATTCACGGCGACAAAGACAACATGGCCGACCTGTTTTCACAATAACATTGGTCAAAGGTCAAGATAGCATCCAAATGTATAGATACATGTAATAAGTACATATTACAGTGCTAAAACGATACTTTAAACGCATGAAAAATATTTTTTCGGCTACGCTACAACTGAAATAAAAATTCAGTTATATTTTAGTAAGGTTAATTTTCAAACATTACTGAGAAATTTTCCGAATTAATTGGTTTCTTGTGTAATATTGTTGTTTCTATGCATGTGCGGTTGGATGCTGTCATTGTAAAGACCCTTTACATATTGGGAGAATCAGATGAGATATTAGAGATTATCACGCTTAGTACCGTGACCCGAGTGTCTCTCAAAAATTGTTTTTGAGTGGAGTTTATAAACATGATCACATTTTTATTTGTTCAGCTGTGTCAATATGTGATTTGTTTGAGAAATAGGATTTGGTTTAGTTTTTAATATATTAATGTCAGTTAACATCTTTGGAATAAATTGCTCCAAGTTCCAGGTAGTAAATACATGTACATTTTGTATCATGTATTTTTCACTTGTTGAACTTGTGGAAGCACCGTTGGCCCCCGGTTAGGGGTCATCCGGGGAACCTATGCCCAATTTTTTCAAAATTAAGGGTAGAATTTTTTTTGAACATGAGGATAATTAAGTACAGATCTTGAACCTTTCTACTGCCTTATACATCTGCAGTTGTACAGAAAATGTAGAACTGAAGTTGCAGGAAATGACCTCCATTTGTGTTTGGAAAAGACAAAATGCAATAGCTTCCCCCCCCCTCCAGACCTCCCCCCCGCCGCCCGCTCCTCCACCCTGCTCTGAATTTCTGGGGAGATCCCTGTCTGTGTAGTACAAACAGATCATACGTTCATTGTCCCGGCTTTGATTGAAAAAAAAAAAAAAAAAAGTAAAAAGNTACCCTACCCTACCGACCCTAACTTTTTACTTT